TTTGGCATTGTGTTTTAAATATACATTTAGTAAGTTTTTTGCTCGCAGTTCACGATCTTTACAATGAAAGTGAAATGGATCATCATGCAAATATCTAAGCAAAAGGCAGTAAATGAAATTGACACGACAGGAAATTTCTTCAACAGATCCTCGCGACTATGTAAAACAGTTTCCTGAACTATATCGAGAATAAGCATCTAAAAATTCTGTGGGAATTTGGTTAAAATGTTAATTTCAACAAGGATTTCAATAACTGCTATTTTTAACGAAAAAAGTTTTAATTCATCAGGGCTGTATTGGTCTCACTAAATGTATATTCTGAAAAAAGATGATTTTTTTACAATCAAAAAACAAAAGTTTCAAAAGTCAAGAAAGCAGTGATCGAGAATTTTTTAAAAATACCGCAAGTTTTAAAGTTTAAAATCGGCAGAGAGCAATCTAAAATTTTAATGCCGAAAAAGATTATTGACTAGCTGCTCGTTCTGTTCGAATCATATTTAGATTGATGCGATTCTCAAAAGTAAACAAAGTTATTCGTTCCGGATCTTGGAGGCGCTAGTTTCTATCATCGCGAGATTAAACTAAAAAAAATGTTTTTTAACAGTAGGGTCTCGCACATCATAGTAAGCTGCGTCATTAGTAGCCTATCCGATTAAAAAATAGGATCGTGCTCAATTACTCGACTTGCACCCTTACACTGACTTCTATAACAAAAATAGTAATGGTAACGTAGTTAATAATAAACATTAGAAAATTTATGGTGCGCAGGTGAAAATCCTACGTGAAACGTTCTATTGCGTCACCCATCTTTACTATACCTGATCGCACACACCAGTAATGAAATGTATGAAATAATTTCAATTTCAAAATATAATATAAAGCATGGTACAACTCCATAGAATAATAAATTACGCCATTCACTAGCCTTTACAAAAGCTAGATCAACTATACCACATAATCTTCGATTAAAAGTATGTGGAAATTGTTGACTTTTCAATAATAAGTCTAATTCTTCTCGATCTTTTTGCGATAGCGTTAAAGTTAAATCTGATGTTATCGTTTTAAAATGGCGTAACAACGAAGTATGGAGATAGTCAATACAGATGCGGTTAGGAAAATCATTTTCGAAAAGATCGGTAATTTTTATTGTCGGAAAATCGGGCGAGGATTGTAATTTTATATTTTGTTCATACGGAAATTGGACCCGTCGATTTATATAACTTCCAGGTATGCAGCAAAAAAAGCATGAATTATAGCCCGTATGACCTTTGAATGACAGAATATACGACAAAGCCGGCAAATCACCAATTATACTATGGTAGCGAACTAAATAAAGAATATTTATAAACACGCCATCATCCACCGGTACCACAAAATAAGATGGTCCATAGCAACATGGTCAAACAAATACAAAAAAGGAATGTTTTGTATTTACACGTGTGCAGAGCGCAAAGATATCTATTTTGTTTCGAACTAGTTTTTCGAGTTAGAAAACAAAATCAAAACTATTTGCGCTCGAAAAAGAACGACCATTTTTATGAAGCTAAGGGTGGACGAAGGCGTGACTTAAAAATACTTGAAAAATATTGAACCGTTATCTCATCACCAATTCGTTGTTTGATTACTAATCCATTTTCTTGGATTGCCTTTAATTCTCGAACGATAGGATTCAGCATTTATTGATATCTGGCTTCCCATAGCCCACAACTACCGATAATAACAATGTATTTCGACGTCTATTACGGATATGAGGAGGCAGCTCGATTACTGTAGAGCTTAAGGCCCATAAACCCAATTTTGAACTCTTGACTAATGGTAATCCATCTAAATGCAGCTGTAAGCTAATAAATGGACAGTCACCTTGTTCACGATGTTTCTTCAGTGCTTTTTGATAAATGTGACCTATAAAACGGTGAGAAAAAATTCTGTACCATCGAAATGTTCTTGCCTTATCCGGCTTTTCAAAATTCCGTATAATTTTTAAAATGCACTAACCAGAAATGCAGAACAACTGAGAGTCAGTTTCTGATATTTTTAGGCACAGTCTGAAAATATCAGGAAATCTCACATATACCTAGACAATTGAGATAATCAACAATAAAACACGTGGAAAGAAAGCCCAAAACATTCTGTTTCTAGGCCAACGGTTTATCTCCATGTTTAAGGTTGTAAATAGCCGAAAAATACGAAAACATCTGGCTAGAACTTTTTCTCACCCGTTACTATATCATCGTTTTTTTCAAGAAAGTCTTTTTTGTTAAAATTTTCCCTATAATTTTGAATTTCCTTCAAATTACGAATAACAATTCTTTCTAATTGTGCTTTTGCATTAGATGTGTATACGGAAAAACTTTGTAGATATAATGTACGATATTGTTTACATGAATGATTTGTACATAATCTAACTTTCGGGTCAATTTCGTGATAACAAATTGCACATAAAATTCTTCTGGAAAAATAATTAAATATACCTACATTGTCTAATAATTTATCCAATGAATTAAGTAGATTATTTGGAAATGGCAGAACACGTGAAAATTCTTTTAAAATTTCATTCATTATACTTTTACTCAAACATGATTTTCTATTCATTCTTAATAAATTTTCGCACGTTTCACCTACAGTGGCGCGTGTATATTCATGAAGAGGACGGGTATCTTTGACATATAATTCGTTTGGTGTTTCTTCATTATCATCCAATATATAATTACTGGCGAGATTTATTTTATGTTGAAATAAATTATTAAAATTAATTTGTTCATCTTCATCGTCCTCATCTGTATTAGTGGCGGTTATAGAAGCTAACAAATAGTGTACGTCATCGTGGTAGCCGTCGTCACTGTCATCCGTTAATAAATCTGAGCCACCCAATTCAAAATTATTTGTCATTTCGATATCATCACTCGAGAGTGGTTGCTTAAGTCTTATAGACAGACAATGGTCATGGTTTTTAAAAAACAAATATCCAAGGATCAGTGTCAACATGTGTTTTTTCTGAGATATATCTTGATCAAAGAGAAACGTAGCCCTATAAAAAAAAGTCCAGTGCGGCACTGGTAAAAATCAGTGCAGCACTGCCAGTGAGCATGCCATGCCATCGTCACTGGCACCCGTGCGCATCGGTGCTCAGCAAGTGCCGATTGGCACCCGACCGCACCGGTGTCGATATATTTCTGTCCAAAAAGTGCCACACTGATTAAAATCAGTGCCGCACTGAAATTTACTTAATCAGTTTAATTAGTTTTTTATTATGGTTGTTTCTACTGAATTTTGTATTAGAGTGCGGCACTGATCAGTACCATATTGCGATGCCAAAAGCATGCGGCATTACCTCGATACTTCTCTTATGAGAAGGAAAAGATGAAGTCAGAAAGACATTCGAAATATTAGAAGCATGCTGTGGTGTTAATATAGACAGAAATTGACAAAACAAAATGGTGATTGAAAACAAAACTTCGGCACTGGTGCGAGATTTTTATATTCATTCTGGCACTGGTGCGCACCAGTGCCGATACAATTTTTTTTATAGGGCGAGCTATGAGGTAGAACAACAACAGAGAGACGTGAAGATATAAAACTAGATAATGCTATTGTATTGAACAAGACCTCTTTTATCAAAATCGTTAAAAGTCGATGAGGATGTCTGTATTACGGCCAAAAACCGGTACAGAAAGAACGTAATTCAATTTTGTATTTAAGGGTCCCCTTCAGACATGGTAATTTTCGGTCAAAAAATCGGTTTTGAGATACGTACATGGAAAGATAGCCTGAAATGTCTACTTCCAGAACTTGTATCGTTTTTGGTTACAAAACTGGTTTTTCAGAGATTCAGAGCAAGTTTTCTAAGAGCCTCGAAAAACAGGGTTTTCAAATAATAGTTTTTTCTTCGATGCTTACGCAATTAAAATTTTTCGGAACACACAGCTCTCTGTAGAGCAAACGTTTCTGATCAAAATAAGACCACGCACAACTCTGTATGACCTTGTCTCAAAATCCTAGAAGTCCTAAAATCGAGTATTTCATACAGCGTTTAATACAGCGTTTTCTCTATATAAGAGTTGCACCTGAAGTGCGTCCCAAGATTTTTAATAGCAGTTTGTCGTAGACAGTTCATTCTTTTTTTGTTTAAAAGAGGAAAAGAAACTATATGGACTGACCGGCGCCGATTTTTGAATTAGGTCTTAGATTTTTGTCCAGCTGAGGATTTTTCGGGTATTGGAGGTTGCCTTGTAAACCAATAAAGGCTTAATTGAAAAATCGACGCCGGTCAGTCCATGTAGTTAGGTGTCTACGTTAAAATAAAACAAATCCGAATCCTCCAGCTTGAAGTATATTATAAAATCTCAGGATGCACTTCAGGGTCCTTTTTGAACCTTGAT